TCCCAGTCCCAGCTCTGGGTGTCTCAGCGTTGGGTGCAGCTCTGCCCGGCGCGTTCCCGGCCCAACGTCTCCCTCTAGCGGTCACACTGTGCCCTGCACCGGGCAGAGTCCGAGCCCTGGACGAGTCCCTGGACGAGCGTCGTTCCTGCTGCTCTGAGCATCCCTGCCCGGCCCTGAGCATCCCTGCTGGGCATTGAGCTTCTCTGCCCGGCCCTGAGCATCTCTGCCCGGCCCTGAGCATCCCTGCTGGACACTGAGCTTCTCTGCCTGGCCCTGAGCATCCCTGATGGGCTCTGAGAATTCCTGCCTGGCTCTGAGCATCCCTGCTGGGCCCTAAGCATCCCTGCCAGGCCCTGAGTGTCCCGGCCCAGCCTTGAGCTCCCCTGCCCAGTCCTAAGCTTCCTTGCCTGGTCCTGAGCATCCCTGCCCATTCCTGAGTATCCTTGCCCGGCCCTGAGCTCTCCTACCCGGCCCTGAGTGTCCCTGCCTGGTCCTAAGCTCCCCTGCCTGGCTCTGATCAGCCCTGCCTGGCTCTGAGCTCCCCTGCCCAGCCCTGAGCATCCCTACTGGACCCTGAGCTCCTCTGCTCAGTCCTGAGCATCCCTGTCCAGCCCTGAGCATCCCTATCCATTCCTGAGCGTCCCTGCCCAACCCTGAGCTGCCCTGCCCTGCCCGGGAGTGATGGTGGAGGGTGGGTGGGGATCTCAAGGTGCAGTCCTGGCACAGGAGTGGCTCAGGACATCGTGCCAGAGCTCCACACCCAGCAGTGACCAGCCCCAGCATCCTCCTTGCCCTGCACACCCCCCCAGGAACCTTCCGTACCCTGCATGAATCCTGGGCCCCTCTCCTTGCCCTGCACACCCTGGGGGGATGAAGGAATGCTTTGTGCCCAAGGAACTGACTCCTCTCCTGCACAGAACCTGGCTGTGAACAGGGACAAGGACTGGGCTCATCCTGCTGGAAATGGGCTCCAGCCTCCCCCCGGGCAGGGCTGGGACTGATGCCCATGTTCACCACAGGCAGCGCAGCATGTCAGAGGCGCGAGGAGTCAGCACTGGGGTGTTTACCCAAGGGTTTGTCAGCATTCCAGGCTTGGGCAAGGACCTGCCACCGCAGCTGCTATAAAAAGCCATCAGGGCTGTGGCTGAGACACAGCAGCTCCCATTCCTGCCCGGGCAGAGCTCCTCACCTGGGCAGGTTGGGGGCAGGAAGCAATGCTTGTTTGGTGGCTTTTGGCTGATAGCACCACTGACACAGTACTCCGAGGTGTCATCCAGCCTGCAGAGATGAACAAAGAGCTTCATCCCAGGCTGCTGCAAAACCAGTTCAGCTGAGCTGATGTAAAGATAGGAAAATCAGGTCACTATTGAGGTACATATTAGGGAGACACAGCAGCCATGGACTCTTCCCTTTGGGTATGTTGGGAGGCACCTGGAGCAGCCCCCAGCTCTCCAGGGCAGAGAGGTGATGGTTGGGACATGCTGCATCTCAGGGAAAGGGGATTTTTCCACAGCCAAGGCCTGTTCTGAGCTGGGACACTCCCAGCTGTATCCTGTGGCATGACCGAGTCACACTCCTGTGAGCCAGAGGGAATTTCCACAAGAAATTCTGTCCTGCTTGCACACATCAGCAAGAGACTGGCACATCTACTTCCCCTCCAACCCCCAAAGTGTTTCTAACACCCCAAAAAAGGATTATCCATTCAGTATCATATCACTGTGGCAAGGAAGTAACTCTAGGAAAATATTTTTTACTTAAAAACACCTAAATGCCAGAGTTGTCTGGAGCATCCAGAGCATGCTGTGCCACCTGAAGCGCACACAGTGCCAGGGAACCTTCCAAATTACAGCCCCAGCACCTGCAGGGGAAGGGAGATGGAGGAGCAACTCAGCCCAGGCTGCAGCAGCCACAGCTGCTCAGGATCTGCTGTACTCCCATGAAATTTGCTTTCTTCAGACACTTCAGAGGTTCCATGAAAGCTCCAGGATCCACGTGAGCACAGACACACAGCCACCACCACCAGGATTGCTTCCAGCTTCAAACATTTCCTTAAGCAATTTGCACATCTTAAAAATAAAATCCTTTATTGATAATATGAATGTTTTACATGTTTAATGCCATCAGCTATAAAAATGATTAAAGACTTCAGCTCAGTACATTTGGCTTTACAAATTTACAAGTGTTAATGAATTAATACTAGTGTTATATGTTTTGCACTTCATTATACTCCATTAGCCAGTGACAAACTCTGCAACAATGTCTGCTTAGGATTGATGAGAGTTAGAGAAGAAATATTTAGTTGCTTCCACACAGAATCTACATCAACAGTTAAATACTAACTCTAAATGTCTTACTGAATTAGTTGGATCCATTTTAATCCCTTGTGCTTAGTCTCTCTCAGAAGTTAGGCTACTAGCAAAAATACATTCTCTTGCATACCCCTTCCCATAGTACATTTCAGAACAGTACTCAGTGCATTTCCTAATAGACTTCATCATAGTCTCTCTCTCTCTCTAGAGCTATCAATAAAGGGGATAATACCAGTTAGATTAATGTAAAAGCAAAGAAACTCGTTAAAGCAGTGTATACAAAAGCCTCACTTTTGAATCAGAAGGGATACATGGGCCAAAATCTATCTGCCCATCTGGTTTTCACTCTCAACAAGAGGAAAATAAAAAAAAAATCTGCTGTGGATACTTAAAAAAAGTAATAAATGTGCTTCCAAAAGTCACTGCCCATTTCGCTCTGTCTCCTTGCTGTCAGTACACAACCTGTTTTCTGTTAGGAACAACATCCCATAATACCACCCTTTAAAAGACTACTCAAAGGTGTGTACAAATCTCTGTTCTGGTGTAAACACCTGCCCTGGCTGTGTGGGTGAACCACAGGGTCACTCCAACTTCTCAAAGCAGCAGAGAGCAATGATGTCCCATGGAACAAGGCTGGAAGGCTGAAGGAACCTCTGTGCCATGGACACTTGTGCATCCTCCCATGGCACAGGGATT